CAACTGTTTATAAATTAATTTCAACGAACTATGCTTAATAAAATAAAGTTTTAAATAATATATATTATTTATCGTTGTCATAAGAAACTCAATTGGTTTTAAGATGAAAAAAAAAATGATATTTTAAAATTCATTGTTAGAATAATTTATCTTCGCTTGTCACGAGATTTTGTATCTTGACTTTGAAGGTACCTACTCGTGAAGTAATTTGAGTTACAGACAAAAAGACAATGGCAATTAGTTGCTTCATTGCTTGATTTAGTGCTGAAATTCGACCCTGTGTTGAAAGCAAATGTTGAAAATTATATTAACAACGAAAGAGGCAGTGTATTTTAYTTATCTATTAAAAACAATTTGTGAGGAACATGTTTTTAAAAGTGTTTGAAGTTTGAATAAGTTTTCGATGCAATTATTAAATYGAATTACTTTGATGTTATCGCGTATTATTACTGTTGATTTAACTCCAAATCTTGCTCATATTGACTAGCTTTTATTGTTTGACGTGTTTAAATATGATAATGATACATTGTAYTTTGTACAGTATATGAGCGGTTTCTTTGCTTTATTCTCTTTCATATTCACACTAGTAAACTACCATCTAAAGATTCTAATGTATTAACATTTCTCAAATGGAGTAGAATAAAGGGCAGACTATGCAAGCAGGACGATATGAGAGATTCTATGGTGATATAGCCTTATATTTATATTCATGGCCAGGCTGGATATAAAAAATTGAATTTTTTGGTTAAAATTCTTCCTGACCTGAAATATTTTCGCATTCCAGCCCTGAGTAGCATCGATATTTCTAATTTTCGAGCGCAAACTGTGAAACTTATATGATAATAAGCCTATTATATAATATTACTGGTTATTGCCAACGTGTCTAGGTAGTATAAATCATTGACTGCAGACTCGAATAACAGAACTCAATAAGACAATAAATTCACATTTTATGGGCATGTACACAATGAGTGCCATTTTGTAAAACTTGCGATCTACCGCATAACTTAGAATGTAATAACATATGATCTACCATGCAGTAAGTATTATTTTTACTTTACTGATAAAGTTGATGAATTTTTAAATGTTAAAGACAAGTTTA